ATACAGGAATTCTAGAGCCTGTGTTATGCAGGAGATTATAATAATTTAATCTCATGGTCTCTTCTGTCTTTAAACTCTGTGGTAATTGTTGGTTAAAGTTAAACATAATGCAAGCAGACCTCTTGAAGGGAAGGGTATAATGGCTATAGCCTATAAAGACCCTAAAACACTTTGAGAAGAATCTTAAACTGCAGTTTTCAACTTCACCCTTACTGTAACGGCAACCAGCACCTTGTCCTTACAGAGCTGTTTTGTTAATATTTGGTGGTCGTCAGGTGTCTTAATCTGAGGTGCAGGACAATTGAAGTTAATCTTGAACCCAAATGAAGAATTAATGCTTAATGCACAACAATCTGAATTTATTTAAAAATTAGCATCATGTCCCTTCTGAAAAATCCCATAAACTATGAAGGATCCACCATTGCTCATACCACCCCCAGATCAGAGTGAGGCACAACCTGTCCAGGGATACCAGTCGCCAAGGAGCTCCCTCCCCATGTGGGCTGAGGGAGAGTAAAATTAGTAGTTTCTGATGGTGGAGCGACCTCTAGGCGCTAGACACTTCTTTTCCTGTGCAGGGCCATGGGTACCATCAGCACTAGGGATAGATGAGAGGTAGAGTCAGGGCTTCCCTTGAACAGACAAGATTTGGGGGACCCTGAGGCACTAGTCCCCATCCAGCCTTACATGAGGGGAAACAGAAAAAGCGCCACCAGCTGGGAAGTAGACCAGCCCAGGAGCTAGGCAGAATTCAGTAGCCATACTCTTCCAATAAGAGATGCCCACCTCACTCCTGGACCATTATAGCACTTTGGATGCTGGTGTTGTCATCACTGTGCCTTCAGTTTAGACTCTGAACAATATTTTCTATTTGCTGGCTGGCTGTTTGCTCCCACCTCTTCTTCCCTACTGCTCCTCTGCTGTCTTTGTCTTTCAAGCTCTTCACCAGCTTTTCTTGTCTCTCTTCTCTACACATCCAATGTTCCTTTTCTCTTCCTTTCTTTTCCACTGTTGCTCTTGCTAACACATCCTCCTCCCACTTTCCCCAGTTATTCTATCTCCGATTCGAAAATTCATTTAAAAAACATGCCACAAAAGCCAGAAAGAAAATCATGGAACTAGCATAACTTTTGCCAACCGTCATTCTGGCCATATGTCTCAACCATTTGTCCTTCCCTTTGTCTTCACTAGTTAAATTGTAAGATCTTAGTCCCTTCCCCTATCCCTTACTGTGTGATTGTTCTAGGCACTGTACAGTCATCTTGGTTTGGTGCCTCTTGTGCTGCCATAATACAGATAATTAGGAAATAACTTTATTTTTTTTATTGATAGGCTTTCTTTACCTTCTATAGGTCTTTTTTTTTAAAAAGAATTTCTGTAGATCGCTATCAAATTGTATGGGACTTTCCATAAGAATGTAGCTAATGTCACTTTGTTATAAAATAGCTTAAAGGTTTTATCTTTACAAACAGTGGAGGGAATAACATTCTGTAAAATAAAATATTTATGGGAAAAACTACATCAATTTTTGAGTACAGTCCCATGAGTGAAGTATAGTTAGGCCATAATTTGCATTCTCATAGCTGTTAGAGCAAAGCAGAGAAACTAGGACCTTCAGATTTTATTTGAAGACCTGCTAATAACTCTGAGATATTGGGCAAATCACTTAATTTCTCTGCCTTAGTTTGCTTTACATAAAGAAATACCAAAGGAGTATTCTGGAACTAAATTCATGATCGTGGAGAGCTCTGAGGCTGTCAAATGAAAAGTTTAAGTGTATTTTTATTATGCCTTGTTGTATGCTCTAATTTTGGCAAAGGCCATATGTTGATAGGCATTGAATCATGGTTACTTAGGTAAAAATCAGATTTTAAGAAAAAGCTGAAATAAAAGCTGTTTGGCAAACTAGATAGCAAATTTCTTCAGATGACAGCTCAGAAACTACAGGCTTGTTCAATAAGCTACATTTTCTTCTTTGGTCATACCTGTATGAATGTTTGGCTCCTAAATGAGACAGGAACGGTTGCATCCGTGTGTGTTGCTGTCACTGTTCATGCTTTGCACTCTCCTGTATTGGATTGTGAGGTCAGCCATTTTTTTTATTGCTAGACTCGCTGCTGGCATTTACGTTGCCCATTTATAGTACAAAGTAAATGGAGCTGTCTGTCCTCTGGTATTCCCATACATAGTGACTGATCTCACTGCAGACTCAGCCGTCCCATGCTTTCTAGTGAACAGGAGGTGCTTTCCATAAAAAGGATTGTCAGGGAATCTGATTTATTCTTTTAGTTTAGATTTTTTTAATGCAATCAGTTGGTTCTTGTGTTAACTTCCTAATTGTATCCTGTATTTCAAGGAAACAAAATTGATATTGCAGCCCTGGTATAGTAACTCTACTGGGGATGAGAACTTTTAAATCTCCTATTAAAATATGTTGGTATGTTATCAGAATTGCTTGCCATCTACATGCACTTGTGGTACATTGGTCTGCTGGTTTTGAAGTGGTGTGTCCAATAGATTTGATGTTGACGTTGCCGATAATACAATAAGTATTCCCTGAAATCTTACTGTAGATCCTTTGTGATAAGTTAATTCACAAAACCAAATTACTTTTCAGAAGTCTATAAAAAATTGAACTGTCTTTAAACTCTTCCTGTTCTGTTCTTAGTGATCAAAACACTTAATTTTACCATGACTCTAGGTTTGACTCTGAAGACCTTTCCTTTACAAAGTTTGAGGAATAAGTTCTAGTTTGAGTGTCCAGTCATCTTATATGGCTAAATGTCTGAGCTATGTCCTTCTTTTGACTCTTAAAATAAATTTAAAAGAAATAGTGGTGCTATGTAATTTACTTTTATATACTGATTAGAGAAACTATATATAATATATATTTATATTTTTAAATATTGCTAACTTCATTTCTAATAATTTTGACTGAAGGCCTAAGAACAAATGCCTTACTTTGTAACCACTGGTGCATCAGATTTTTCTGATGGGTTACTTAGGGAAGAGAACTAATCTAAGTTCAGCTCTGTAACTGTTTGATCTACTAAATGAATGGTAATCAGGCCAAGCACTGGGGATGGGATATTGTAAGGAAAAATATTATTGTCACCTTTTGAGATACAAACTACATACACACTTACAAAATTAGAGTCTTTTATATATGATGCTGCTTCTGTTGGCTCCCGGAAGCCCTATTGTTAATTATTTAATTAAAACTTCAGTTTGCTTTTGCAATTTTAGAATTACATACAGGAAATTTATAGTCCTTTAAAGGGACACTAATCTTGAAATCACTTTTTTTTTTTAAAAAAAAATGTAAAGTAACAGCTTCAGGTACTATGCCAGTCTGAGTCCCTCTACCAACTCGTGGTTTTACAAGTGTACTTATTTTCTTTTAAAATGTTTCCCCCTTTTTACTGTATAAAAGATCCATGCAGACAGGGAGACTGACAGTATACAGGAGACAGAGTGAAACTGACTATGCACAAAGTAAAATCAAAGGAGGAAAAAACCAGACACAATATTTTTTGCTAATCTTTTGTGTATAGTAACTTTGCTGGTACAAGAGTAGCTAAAAAGCCCATAAAATGTGAGACAGGGTTTGAGTAGCCACATTTAATCTAAAACTATAAATGTCAGCTAATCTATAGTTCAGATACAAGGGTCTGCTACTGCCAACAGGTTCTGAACCTTACCTCATGATCTATGCACCTGTACATGTTCCTGGCAAAATCCTCTTGTAATCTGCTGCCTGTAGAGATGGGCATGACTAAAAGGATAGCTCAAATACTCCCAAACTTTGGATGAGTTAAAAGCATAGATTTGAAGCTTGTGCTTGGAGTCCATCATTAATTCTTTCCTCACAGGTATAATATAGTACAAGAAAAAAGGCCTTTGGAAAGGGAAGGGCAGGGAGGCTGTTTTTAAAGTGTGGTTATGGCTAGCAAAGTGACTCTGAGAGTGATACTTTTGTGAGTTGTATTATCAAATTGCTTAAAATAATAATTTTTTTGTTCTTTTTTGCAAGTCTAAGCAAAGTTTTGGGGTTTTTTGGGCCAGAATTGACGAGAAGCTCAGTTTATTATCTGAAAATCAAGCTGTGGGGTTTTTTCTGCTTTGCTTGCCAATGAAAAATATTTGGATTCAGAACAGGGCTGATATGTTATGTGCATGTGAAACAGAATAACAATGGCTCTCCCTCTTCCTAAAAAGAAACAATAACTTGGAATAAAAACTTGGAGCCTTATCCTACCTTTAACTCAGGCTGCATTTCCTTTGAATTAAAAGGGAGTTTTGTAATTTTGTGCCCCTGTCTGATTGAGGAAGAGTCAGTAATTTGCATATGGGGAGATCTAGTGGGAAACTTACTACTCTGGCATATGACACACTCTGTATCAGTGACTGGAGATCTCCAAGCCAGGTGTGGTGATGGAATATGCAAATAGTCTCTATTGTAGGATCTCGTTTGGCCTCATTTCTACAGTGATGCCACTGATATTTACTGGACTTTTGTGTATACCTTCTAAATTGGAGGGTGCAGCTGAAATACTTCTATGGAGCTGTACAGCTAAACTTGCCAAACTTGTCCTTGGCTGGAAAGATTATTCAAGGGGCAACAGAATAGAGTTCATAATCAATAGGCCAAAACTGCTAACTCTCAGTAAAATAGAAGTTACTCAACCAAGATCAAATACACCAGTCGAAGAAGATTGGAATGTCAGAAACACAAAACTAAGGAAGTAAGTGGAAGAGATATTTAATCTGAAATTCTCTTCCATGTTCTCATATATACCTGGGAGCACAGGTCTGCTTTTATTTTTTCTGAGTTAGTATGTGCACTTCTAACCTAATAAACACACTGAGATTGCCAAGTATCAATTTAGAGGTTAGGATAGGAATTCTTCAATAGCATCTCTGTTACAAGGAGAGGGTAAGAATAATAGGAGAAAATTCATGAAATGTTACTTGTAGACTGACATAATGTTTTCTTCCAGATTATAAAAGCACTTAAGGGACTTCAGGATTTGGATATTTCACTGGACATTCTAGTGGTAAGTGAGAAATTGTGTGCTGAAAGCCTTCATCTATGAAGTTATCTGTGGCATCTTCAGTGATTTGTGACCATAGAAGCCAGGAAAGTTACTGCACCTTGCAATCCTGAATCCTAATCCCAAATCATTTTTAATATAAAAAGTTATATGGGACCATGGAGTCTTTTCCCAAAAACCACCCAGAGGCACTTTGCCTTGTCTAGCAAATATGGCAGCATGGCATATAGTGACAATATTAGGCTCTTCTACTGAGTATCCAGAGAACAGAATCCCGGGCTGGTTGGGTTTTCCTCCAAGTGCAGTGGCCTCTGTGCCAATATGATGGAGTAGGTTTGTGTGCTCACACAATTATATTTTATATTTACATGTGCTGGTGCTTTGATTCTGTACCTAAGATGAAACAAACATGACCACTTCATATTTTTAGATCCGTGATTATTCTTCCATTCCTCCAAGGAACACAAAATCCCTTTTTAATTGTGATTCTGCAGTTAGAACAAGCATCCTAGTAGTCACAGGTTAATGATGCTCTTGGTTCTGCTAGTATTTTATTTTTCACACCATCTCACATCCTATCAGATTTTCTGTGATAAGGAGTGTCAGTACATATATGGGAGACTTCCAAGGTATGCCTTTGCGTTATAGGGCATAGTTTAGGTATTTAGGTGGTGGCATTTTTCTTCCTTGCAGTCACTAGTAAACCAGTTCTCCGTCTTGGTGTCGGAGTTCTGCATATCAAGGTCCTAACCACCTGTGGACTGTGAAGATTCCCTGATATTTTTCACGAAAGGAAATGTATTCTCTTAGGTATCCTGTCCAATTTCCAAATCTCCTCATGGCATCTTGCATGCCTAAATTCAGTTCTATGTGGATATAGTATTCTTCACTTTGTCTCATACCTGTGTGCAGTGTTGCTGCACTTCAGTACTGGATAAAGTAATCCCCTTCACGTAGTGATTAGATAATTTAAAATCAGAAAGCACTGTGGGATACTTATTTAACTGAAGTTCTCTGACATTGTTCATAATAATGTGACAGGCCATTTGGGATCCTTTAAGTGAAGTGGAAAAAGAGGGTGATAGTTACAATTAAGGATTCTATATAATTTTATTGTACTGTTATATCCTGAGATGTTTCAAACATTAATCCTAGGAAAAGCTAGAGCTTCTCTTGTATGAATTTCAAGCAAACTGGGAACTATCATACATGTAGGAAACATTGCTGAAAAGTATTGGATGATGTCACTGAAGCCCCTTCTGTGTTAAGTGAAATAATTTTTTTGAACAGCCAGATGGACAGCTGGTTGTGCAGGAAAAGCACATATAACTCTTATTTGCAGATGTCACAGGAATATCTTGTCACTTTAGCTGGAGAGAACTTTAAGAGGTAACTGTCAACTTAGTGTAGGACTTACTATGGTTGCTGGAGGGGCCTCAATGAGATTGATCAGGGCAAACCCCAAAGAATGGGGCAGCCAATCCCCCAAATTGGTGATTTATTCTAACAATTAGATTCACCAAGCCAGCAACAAAACAGCTTCTGCAATACCTTATGGGTTACCCAGAAGCCAAAATACAGCTCCTCTAAAGCAATCCAACCATAGGCTCCCACCCAGACAGCCAAGTTGAATATGGTAATTAGTTGCCTTGATGAGCATAAGGCAATTAATCATTCAAAGATCCACAGGTAGTTTACTACAAACTTCAGAGAGAAATAAAGATATTATTACACCACACATTTCATCTAATTGCTAATATTCCTTTTGGTCTCTGAATCAATAGAATATAGTAACATACAGGAGTAGAAGTGTATCATCTACCAGCTAATGAAATCACATTGTGATGCTTCTAACAGATATAGGTAAACACAGACAAATACAATAAGTAATTACTTCTAATTATCTTACAAAAAAGACTTATGTTTCAAAGGATTTAGTCTACTTACATGGCTTTGATAACAATCTACAAGAAATGGCCCTGTTTGCCATGTCAGTACTTCCCTAATATGTGCATAAAGGGTGATCTTTAGGTCACTTAGCCTGGTGGTTGTTTAACCCTTTCTGGCTCAGTGTCACAAGGACCATTTTAGTGTTTGTGTACATTTTAAAAAAGAGGGGGCTATGTAACCAAATGTAAATAGATATGCTCTCATGATGAAAATTCGCCTGCAATGTTGTGTGGCCACAACCACAGGCTCTTCAGGACAAGGACAGTTTGTGTGGTGCCTAACACAGTGGTGTCCTGATCTATGGCTGGGGCCCCAAAGCACGACTGCAATATGAATAATAATTGTACTGAGTCCCAGAAAATGAACCTGAACAGTCTAGTTTCAAGGGCCAGTCTACCTGGGCAAAAAAGTGTAGGTTTTTTCAATTGAAATAGTTCAAATAGTTTAATTCTAGTAAAACTTCACACATACCTTAATGCCTGTGTGGATAAAGTCTGGCTACAACACAACCAGTTCAAATGATCTTAAAGGTGTTAAATTCTGTCTACGTCAGTATTAATAGCGGGGTGTCAATCAATCTAACCCAATCCTATTGAGAGAGATGCTTTTTGTGCCTGTGTAGACAGGGCTGACAAAAATGTTCAAGGTGAGTGAACTGCTAGAATTAGACCACTAAAGGATAAGAAGTAACTTAATTTCTCTGCTGAAGTTTCATAAAACTTAAATATAGAAAGATACTCATATTACAAATACTCAGTATTTTGGGTTATAAACGTGTGGTTTTGCTTTGGCTCCCTTGGAATATTTGTTTCTGGTACAAAAATGATCTTTATGATCTGAGTGATCTGTCAAAGGATTTTTCCAATTACTAACTTATTGTTGTGTGAATTTAATTAGTTAGTAGAAAAAGTATATTTGGGATGTTGGTCATGTGTTTCTGTCCTCCTTGCACTGTCTCCAATAGGAAACTGGAGTAGGAAAAACAGTTAACAGTTTTAGGAAACATGCCACTGCTGGAAATATAGCTAAATCTCTGGTAAACCACTGGAAAAAACTTATTCCGCCAGAAAATGAAAGGTAGGTGTGAGTCTAATTTTAATTTTGAGATAAATTGTTGTCCAATATAATATTTTTATCTGTTCAGACTGTTTTTTTTATATAATGAAATTAGCATGATAAGATAAGACAGATAGGAGAAGTTCATATTTGGAAATAGACTAGATGGAATGGAAGATTAGTTTGTGAATGCTATTTGGTAAAATATTGCCAAAACTTTCAACAGTATTGTTTGCAAATAATTATTTGACCAATTGTAGACAAACAGCCAGTCCTTAGCCCGTCCTCAGCCCATGGATTTGATGAAGGCTGGACTAATCCAGCGAATGGGTATCATTGTCTAATTCTTTAGGGAAGTGGCAAGTACAGATCGGGAAGGGAGCTAATGTGGTGGTACTTGGTTAAATGTTGTTCCTTCCTCATCACACCTCCAGTCATTTGATTTCCTTTCCCTGACCATGCTACTTCCAAGAGAGGAAGAGGAGGAACCTCACAACTTCAAGCTTATTAACGTACATGAAATATTCCTCAAGAAGAACAAAAAAGTAGAGCATGTGTGAAGCATCTCAAGTTAACTCCAAGTTAATGTATTTGAGGGCCATTCCTGATACTTGCTGGTTCTGACTTCAGTGGCATTTACTATAAACTGTGTTCTGAGTACTGTGGCATTGTAATGTACCATGGCTTAGTTATATGAGGTTCCTATATAATTCTCCCTCTTTGTCTGACTTTTGATTCCCACTTGCATACAGAGCAAATGCATCAGAACGGCCATACTGGGTTAGACTTATGGTCCATCTCGCCCAGTATCCTGTCTTGCAACAATGGCCAGTGTCGATGATGCAAAGGGAATGAACAGAACAGGGCTATTATTGAGTGATCCATCCCCTGTGGTCCTATCCCAGCATCTAGCAGGGACACCCAGTATATGGGGTTGCATCCCTGACCATCTTGGCTAATAGACACTGATGGACCTATCCTCCTTGAACTTACCTAGTTCTTTGTTGTGAAGGCCAAAACTGGATTCAGCATCTCCTGGCAACAAGTTCCACAAGTTGACTGTGTTGTGTTAATTAGTACTTTTTTTGTTTTAAACCTGCTGCCTATTAATTTCATTGGGTGCCCCCGGTTCTTGTGTTTACAGCTTCACCTAACACTTCCTTATTCACTTACTCCACACCAGTCATGATTTTATAGATCTCTATTTTATCCCCCCCCTTAGTGGTCTCCCAAGCTGAAATAGTCTTTTTTTAATTTCTCCTCATATGGAAGCTGTTCTATACCTCCTTTTTCCAAAGGCTCCCCAGTTCCTAATAAACCCCAAACCCTGCTCTCTACACCATTGTCTCATTCACACATTGAGACCCTGTAGCTCTGATTGCACATGGAATTGGAAACATTTCAGAGAATGCTACTATGGAGGTCCTTGACTTTAATCTCTTACCTAGCAGCCTAAATTTGGCCTCCAGGACCTCTCCTACCTTTTCCTATGTCACTGTACCTACATGTACCACGACCACCGGCCACTCCCCAGCACTACTCATATGTAGGGCCCTACCAAATTCACAGCCATGAAAAATATGTCAGACTGTGAAATCTGGTCTCCCTTGTGAAACCTGGCTATTGGGGGGTAGGTCACAGTATTGCCCACATCACCCACCTGTAAGGCTCACCCTGCCCCTCCCTCAAAAAGTGACAAGCTCTGTCGCCATAGCACTCTCACTTCTGCGCTGCTGTTGCCTTCAGAGCTGGACAGCCAGAGAGTGGTGGCTGCTGGCCAGGCACCCAGCTCTGAAGGCAGCACCACTGCCAGTAGCAATGCAGAAGTGAGGGTGTCATGGTGTGGGAGAGTGGTCACTTTTTTGGGGGAAGGGAAGGGGCCAGCCTTACAGCTGGGCTGCATGGGGCGCTGTGCCTCCCCGCCCCCCCAGCCAGTCCAAGGCCCCTTTAACCTCCAAGCGCTCAGGAGGGGCAGGACTGAGGGTGCCCCAGGGCTGAGTCAGACCCACCTCTGGCAGTGGCGCAGAAGTAAGGGTGGCAATACCACACCATGCTACTCAGACATCTTGGGAGATCTGCAGCCTTTGCACCTGGCAGGCAATTCACCATGTGCTTCTCCTAGTCATCACAAACACAGCTATCTGTATTCCTTACGCTCAAATCTCCCCATTACTATTCCCTGTCTCTTCCTAATATCTGGGATTCCCTCCTCTGGAGAAATAGCCTCAGTGAAAGGCCTGACATCCGAGCATCCCAACTATGGGATCATTTCCCTCTATTCCAGTTTGATGTTTTCCTTTCCTGAGACTTTCATCTGCCTCAACAGCACAGAGGCTATCAGATTGGGAGTGGGACCACACTTTGTCCCCACTCTACAGTGTCACCACAAGTCTCATCGATGTACCTCTTGGTCTCCCTTAGCTCTTCCAGTTCAGCCACTCTGGTCTCAAGCCCTTACTCTCCAAAGAACTTATGTCTCTCTGAGAGACACTGAATGCACACACGTGCTACCTGCTCATGCTGCGTTCAGTGCAATAAACTAGATAGCCCCCATTCTGCTGCTGAGCTTCTACCTGCACTCTTTTTACTCCTGCAGCTTTTTGGGGGGGGTTGGGAGGAGGCTGGGTAGGATGTCGATTGGCCTAAATTTAGAGCAGTGGTCTCCAACCTTTTTACGTCCAAGATCACTTTTTTTAAATTTAAGGGCAACCAAGGATCTACCCTGCCCTTGCCCCTTCCCCAAAGCCCCACCTCCTCACTCCATTTCCTCTTCCTCTTTCCATCACTCTCTCCTACACCCTCACTTTACCAGGCTGGTGCAGGGAGTTGGGGTTCAGGAGGGGGTGCAGGCTCTGGGCTGGAGCTGAGGGGTTCGCAGGGTGGGAGGGGGCTCTGGGCTGAGCCTGGGGCAGGGGGTTGGGGATGCAGGAGGAGGCACAGGGTGCTGGCTCTGGGAGGTGGGGTGCAGGAGGGGGTTTGGGGTGCAGGAAGGGGTATGGGTGCTGGCTCTGAGAGGGGGCTCAGGGCTGGTTTGGGATGCAGGAGGGGGTTCAGGGTGTGGCCTCCAGCAGTAAGCACTTACCGCTGGCGGCTCCCAATTGGTGGTGCAGTGTGGCTGCTGAGGTAGGCTCCCTGCCTACCCCGGCCCCATGCTGCTCCCGGAAGGGGCCAACGTGCCCCTGCGGCTCCTGGGGGGGTGGGGGCTCCATGTGCTGCCCCTCTCTGTAAGCACTGCCCCCACAGCTCCCGTTGGACGCAGCTCCCCGTTCCCGGCCAATGGGAGCTGCGGGGTCGGTACTTGCACACAGGAGCAGTGTGCTTCCAGGAGCAGCATGGGGCCAGCGCAGACAGTGAGCCTGTCTTAGCAGCAGCCCTGCTGTGCTAAGACAGATCACAATCGACTGGCAGATCCTCTAGGATCAACCAGTTGATCGAAATCGACCGGTTGGTGACCACTGATTTGGATAATGTTTGGTGTATCTGGGTGTCACTCTCCCTCACAAAACTGTTTGCTGCTCTTGTTCACTAGCTCCTATGGTTTCTTAAGAGCTGCCTTTTTAAACCCTTGGTTTCCCTGAGTAGCCCTGCCCCCTGGTTAATGGTTAGTGGAGCCTAAAGGGATAGGGGATCAAAGCCTCATTAAGAAGCTCTCAGCCTTTCCTAACAGGCCTCTAGGCTCAGCACATGGGCCTGCCCCCCTGTTCGCCCCCCCCAACCAACCATATATATTAAAAAAATACATGTTACAGTCAAGCCGCAAGCACACAACAGACAACTCACCCCAAGGGTCACGTCACTCCTCCTTCACCTGGAGAGCTCCCTTGCAAAATTCGTGTTTGCTGCTCCTGCTCACTAGCTCCACTGAATAGACATAATCTCCGTCTCCTTGATACAGCCACTGCTGCCCTCATCAGGCCAGATGTTTTTTCGTCCCTTTACAGTTCCTTACCTGATATTTTTGGGACAGAGAGAAGCTGATAGCTTGAGAGCTGAAGGTCCCAGTGGATTTGAGGTTAGGTAGGTCAGGTAGGGTGGGAGAGGTATTCTGTAGTTTGTTAGTGGTTTGTTTTTGCTGTGGAAAAATCCATGGTACATTATTAGTTGAACTGTAAGTTTTACATCTTAAATTTCTATTGAATGTTTTTTTAATATCACTAAACTGCCCAGAATCTGGGGTGAATTCAGTGTATATTGAAATAGGTAATAAATACTTGGCTGCTGTTCCTCTCTGGAAGGAAGCGTGCTGGGGAAACGATTGTGTGGCTTGCTTATTCTCACTTTCTGGTGGCAGCAGTTGCTAGTTGGTTGGACCCATATTCTGCTTCACTGGGACCCTGTGCTAATGTGGAAGAGTTATACAGCACTAGGATTTCTGGTACGTTTAACAAAGCATGCTGTTAAGGGATATCTGCTGCCGTGGGAACAAGCAGAGGTGCTGCATCTGGCCATCTGCTGATAGCTGCTGCTCCTGGCATGCCAATCTGTAGGGGCTGAGAGATTGTGGGGTGCCTTCAGATAGGATTTACTCTAGCTGCTGAAGTGGCAAATAAAAGGAAGAAAATCCTGATGTATCAAAGGTACTTAATAGATTGAAGGAAATATTTCATATCAAACACCTGACCCTGTAGGCCCTGTCACTAAAATGTGTTTGTACTCCTTTTCCAACAACCGTGCAGTTGTAAGCGCTAGTGTAGACACTGCTCAGACTGCTTTCATGCAGTCCTGTCTATATCGGTTGCCCCACTAATGGAAAACAGGTGTGCACAGTTTTCTAAAGCTGCATTTACTAAACTCTAAAGACACACACACACACCATTTTTCACACTTGTATTTTCTCAGAAGTCCCTTTTTTAGGAGCACTACCTGGATTTTGAAATTGAACTTGGCTGCTTTGTCAGTACTGGAACTAGTGTTTTTGCTTCAAGGGACGTCAAGTGTTTCAAGTCCAACACTTGGATTTGTGAAAATTTTACATGGTAGAAAACCAAGTTATTAATTCTGTTGCCCTTTTTTGACCGAGCGACTAGTTAAAGTTTGGGGTCCTGGGGGATGTTCCTGCTAGAAGTAGAGATTGATGGAGTCTGGTATTTTCTTTGCAATCTTTTTTATTTAAAAGGCACGTATGAAGTCCTGTGTCTCTGAATGCAGAAAGAACCAAAAACAAAAAGAGCAGTTTCTTAATTTACAGCTCCCAAGCCTCTTTAGCCAACACCAGAGCCAAAAGTGCACACACTAGCTTTGTTCGGAGTTGTCAGTGTTTGCTTAAAGAAAAGGAGTACTTGTGGCACCTTAGAGACTAACACATTTATTTGAGCATAAGCTTTCGTAAGCTGCTTCCAAAGAAGTGAGCTGTAGCTCACGAAAGCTTATGCTCAAATAAATGTGTTAGTCTCTAAGGTGCCACAAGTCCTCCTTTTCTTTTTGTGGATACAGACTAACATGGCTGCTACTCTGAAACCAGTGTTTGCTTAGAGGCTCCTGCTTGGCTTTCTTGGCTAACCTCTCTCTCCCCCTCCCTGACTGCCTCACTTGTCTTTTCTCCCTTTGTGTGATCTCCCTTCTCACTCTCACACGTACCCTACCCAAAACAATACTCAGCCGAAAGCTCTGGGCACGTTCACACCCCTTTTTGTTTTAGGTGGGGGGCTTATACTTACAGTTAACCTCCTGCTGAGATTGACAGATGTGAAGTCAACTCATAACAAAGTTTCATCCAGCTCATAACAATACAAATGTCTTCATTACTTTTCTAGAAGACTTTTAAACAACTCAAACATTGAAGCATGTTGCATGTGACTTTAAAACTTTCCCTTTTACTAATAACATTGGTAAAAGGTCTGAAGGTCACTCTTGGTAACTGAGCATTAAATTGGAGTCTGTTTTGGTTCTGTCTTGTATTTCAGTGACCGCAAGGGGAAAAAACAGAACACAGACAAGAGGAACGAACAAGACAAGACAAAAACATCAATTTGTAAGGAGAATAAGCACTCTGGCAAGACAAAAACATCTGAACCAGCCTTAGAAGATTGTAAAAGATCTCCCACGTCTGATAAATGGAAGAAGGAGTATAGTTTTACAGAGAATAAGCAAAGAAATAAAGATACAGAGTCTTATAAAGGGCATGAAAGCAAAATACATAGCTCCAGTAGTTCTAAAAATACATCCCAAAGCATCAATCCTGAAAACACAAAAAGTGACTGCAAAGAAACAACCTCTGCTGCCAGCAAAAAACCTTCAGAAAAGCACCATTCTCCTAGAGCCAACAAAAAAGATCTATTTCCAACAAAAGGGTCTTGTAAGGATCTCTCCAAACGGAGAAACTCTGAGGACCCAGGAAAATTAAAACAAACACTTAGTATGGAAAGCAAACCAAAGTTGCCCAGTGATGAGGACTTTGAGCCCCCTGTTATGTCTTTTGAATCCTATCTTAATTATGATCAATTTTCAAGTAAAAGAAAGAGGAAGACTTGCGCTACAAGTGAACAGTCAAAAAACGTCAAGGGCTGCGAACAGAAAAGCTGCTCGTTATCGCAGAAAAATTCCATATCCCCTCTCATGAAAGAGAGCGAGGAAGAACCACCCAAATCAGAAGATGATCAGTCAGAAAGTGCCACTAAAAAGGTAAACTATTTAGTCAAGCTAACATGAAATAAAGTGCTAATTTAATAGTTAATATATTAACAAATTTATTTTGCAGTTTAATTCCATGTGTTTTAACTCAAACCTTAGATTGTGTGGCTTTGACATATCAGCCACACACCGAAGTGGTTACTAATAATTGGGAATCATTTTTGACCCAGAGAAATAGGACTGTAGTTTGTTTCTTGGATCAAATAATGAGTAAAAGTTTAAATGTTTAAGATTGCAAAGTCAAGTGCCAAAAAAATAAAACTGCAGATTTGAGATTACCCTTGAAACCTTAATTGTGCCTCCTTGTGCATATGGATTATGATAGTCTTTAATGATGAGATTACACTGTTCTTCCACAGGACTCTGCCTTATTTAGGCCCTGACTCAGGAAAGTGTTGTTGATGAAATCCCTTAAACATGTGCTTAATTTTAAGAACTTGAAGTCCCTTTGGATTCCATAGGATTGAAACACACGGTTGAAGTGCTTTTCTGAGTAGGGATGCGCTTAGTGTTTCCTTGAATCAGGGCCTTATGGACAGGATAGTTGGTTAAGTAATGAGGTAGCTGTACAGTAATTTTTCCTCAATGTGTGGTAGCTCCATACCTTACTTAATGCACAACATCAAGAACCGACACCAAATAAGTGTACAACTCCTCATGGGCTTTCTTATGGCACTCATCCTAAATATCTGATTCTCATCATTAAAACAATTTATCTTCACACCACTTGAGTGGGAGTAGAAGACTTTTAGAGATGAGGGTATGAATCTTAGGGAGACTAAGCCCAAAATTTGCAGAAAGTCTTGAGTGATAAGTTATATGCCCAATCACTGAAGATACCCAGGGCCTAACTTTTTAAAAAAGAGTATCGCCATATAACATATGCAGCTCCCATTGTCTTCACGTGCAGTAGTACGTACTTGGCACTTTAGAAAACTCAGGAGCCTGGTGCCTCAAGTTGGGCAGGAACACACAATTAGTGGCCATCTGTGAAAACTTTTGACTAATTGTCTTGCCCAGTAAAATGCAGGAAGTCCATGGCAGAGGCAGGTGTAAGGTCCCTTTCCCTGCCTCCCCAGGATAGTATTTAACTGTCCTCTAACCATACAACCATCTCTTCTCTTTTTGCAGTCCCCTCATTCACTACCCACCTTGCAACTTCTCCAATGATTTGGACCAGCATCCTATTGATGAAAGCCTCATTTACTACACCCTTGTGATTCATTTCTAAGCCCACCTTGTGCACAGATTGTAGCAAGGGACCTGTGACCTATTGGGTTTTTGTATGTAATATAGTGTTGGTGATGAGTGAATGGATAAAGTGAAAAGTAATTCATAGTTATGGTGAAGTAATGTTTAGTGTGAGAAAGCAACAAGTCCAGTTACCCTTTTGGTTTTGCTTTAATATTTGATGTATTTGAAGAATTCTTTATCTTCAGTAAGAATTAGGGATATTGTAACAGTGTTTCCTTGAATGCATGTAGGCCAAGACAGCATCACTCCAAGAGCTACTTAATACGCCACTGCCTAAATTTCTGCCAGAGATATCCTTATCTTCTCCCCCATATTCTACAGAGTTCAAAGGTAAGTAATATGCAAGACTGTTACAGATGAGACTAAAATGAGTTCAGTTAGCAAAGCAGTCCTGGTGAGTGTGGGCTGTATTGCACCCTCGCAAAGAACATGCCAGTGTTTGTTCTAGTGCAGTACTTCATCTTCTGCACTGGCTCCCACATAGGGGATCCACTAGACTCTAAAGGGAGAATGTAGCATACAGGAGCCAATTCCCCAGTTCCACCCACTTCGACAAGGCCTTCAATGCTTGTGGAATTCAAACCGTACAGAGATGGCGGGGGGGAGGGGGGTCTTCCATGGGGTGGAAGAAGCTGTTGAGGGGAGGGAGCATGCCACATTGATCCAATGTACTTTCAGGCACACTGGCTTTTTTTTCTCAATTTATTCGTTGTTCTCTTGTGCACCTCCTAGTAGGGGAGAATCTAGCACTCTGTATTATTAACCAGGCTTGTTTGGATAAAACAAATACTGAAACTTGCAGATGTGACAACCTTATAATAACTGACAGACATGCTACTCCTTGAATGTGGAGCATGATATGATCTGAGAACGTGCAGGTGGATGCTGTGTGGGCTTCCCTGCACAGTTCTACTGATAAACTGCATTCTGGCCTTGAAATATCCGTGCTGTTACAACTCTTGGCTTCTTTAGTTTAACTACTAATTTTACCAAACCATCATACAATTTTTTGTAAATTAGACGAATGTTTACGAGAACTAAATCACCAGAGTGTTTTGACTTGTGGTATAAGTCAGCATTTGAACTCTGGCTTCTATGGGTAAAAGGCATTTAAACTCATTGCCTCAGCTGAAACTAAATCTACACTTTTGCTCCATGTACAATGTCCATAAGTCCTGAATAGATGTAATAGAACTTTATATTGCAATAAAAACGAACTGCATGTTTTTTCTACCAGCCATGTTTTTCAATTAGCTAATTATATGCCTTTAGGAAACTAGATTGCTTTGAACATCCTTAAAGAACTGCAATATGAATCTGAGTATATAGATAAAATGCTTTTTTGAGATTTGTTTTGTTTGTAATTTCTGTAGCACCAGTTGCAGAAGTACCCCAGCAAAGCAGTGATACAAATCAATTCACAGGACGGAGATTGAACTCTAAAATGCAGGTTTACTCTGGCTCTAAAACAGTCTACCTTTCAAAGATGCTAACCCTGTATGAACAGTGCATCCGCATACTTCAAAATAACATTGATTGTAAGTACTTTAATATGGGTTTCAGCAGGCTGAGTGGCATTATAGTGCTAGGCTTTCAATAGTGTAAGACCATATTTTTTGTGATTGAAGAATTAAGTTTCTTATGAAGTTCCAACTTTACATTATGATGTATGATGCCATGGCAATAGAAACCTCATGAAACAAAAGCCAAAAAAGCCCTCTTGCTTTTTTCTGTCTAGATGCTATTAGTCTCATGTTTAATCTGAGGTAAACCTGTAATTGGTATAAATTGGGGATGAACTGTCAAGAAAATACTTGGTATGTACATTCACTCCTTGCATCTAATTGGCATGTGAGTATTCTGAGCTTTGGTGTGTGTCTGGGTGAGAAAATGCATCCAGACGAGCGGGGGTGAGAGAGAGAGAGAAAATGGGTAGAGATGGTGGAATGGGTAGACAAGGATGCCTACTATGTTTCCTCAGACTGCCATTTTAATAGTCAGTACAGAACAGCTCATCTACGAGTTTAGGTTGTCCAGACTTCAGAACATATATTCTGCTGGTATATATTAAAATAATCCTATATCTTTTGTTGGGTAAGTGGTGAATCTTATTTGGGCACATATAGGTGGGATACTTAAAATATTGTTTTGCTTTGTAGCACTACATGAAGTAGGAGGAGTGCCCTTTGAAATTCTTGAGCCCGTGCTAACACGTTGTACACCAGAGCAGTTGTTTCGAATAGAGGAGTGCAATCCGGTAAAGTCTGTCTTGTTCAATGCCTTAACCTATTTCATGACTGCTTCTGCTCAAAATCGAATTAACTTTCATTAAATCAAACTACAAAGTAGAAATTGTGAATTATCACCCCCCCTCCCCCAACCCAGTGGCTAGTTCACAAACTGATCAGACCCTCTATATAGTAGGACTTTTTGTCTACAGTTGTTAGGAGTTAAACTCTGTAAAGAATATTTATTAGCATCTAGAAGTGTGGTACATGCTTTACATAATGTGTGCTTGGACAGGTTCCTGCATCAAAACATTTGTAGTCCAAATTGACAACACACAAAGGGCTGGAAGAAGGGGTGAATATTTTTAAAAGGCAAAACATAACTTACTACAGTCACCCTCCCTGTCTTCTGCCTTGACCTTTACTTTTTAATTCTAATATGTGTAGAGTTCTATTAACTTCAATTTTATCCCCCATCACTAATTATCTTTGTCCTTGCCTACAATATTCTACTTTTTTCCTAGTGAAGTTAGCCCCTTACTGATTAAACTCCTTCATCACTCCATTGAGCAGACCATAGCCTCAAACTGTTTTACTCCCACTGGACAAATGTCCCCTCTACACCAAGGCAAAGTTAAAAAGGGCATTGGCAGTGTTAACATGAAAGGGCTCAAAACAAAACTTCAGATGAAACTCGGTACCTGTTGAGGTCCAGGGGACAAGAATGGGCTCTTAGCTTGAAGTTTAAAATTAAATTAAAACGACCACCGTTTGTTTCTGGGATAGTTTTAATATAGTTTTTATTATATTTTCATTTTCCCAGCTCCTGCTTTAACTCCTGGTTGAAGGCAGGGACTGGGGTCTGTTTATACTACTGTGACAGACCAAGCAGAAGGGGATCTGACAGATTAGGACACTGCACTAGATAGCTGCCTCTTCCCACACAGCTCCACATCGCTACAGAGACAGCTCTGGGAGCTGAGAGGAGGGGGAACTAGACTCCTACACTGACCTGTTTGAAGTGAGTTGGGGAGGTTATTAGCTGGAGAAGCCATTGGTAGTAAAAGGGAATGAGGATGCAAGCAGCCTGCTTTTATTACTCTTAGCTTGGAACCATGCAGGGAATAAAGGTTCTTTCCCTGGCTTCCTTATAGCTGTTAAGAGAATCTGTACAGTCTACCCTAATCACCCATCACTGTGATTTCTTAGTCCTACTGTCATTATCATGCCTCCTGGCTTCTTCACTGTATGTCAGGATCTGAAGTACCAGGGGAGTTACTAGTGGTGAATCAGGGAAGCCAGCATAGGACACACATTTACTTCTGCCCCTAAAATAAAAAAAGGAAGGAGACAGAACCAATTTCAAATACTCTCATGTGTTCTAGCTATTTCAATCATCTATGTATTCCCAAGAGAAAAATAGTTAAGGCTGCAGAATGAAGCACGCAGATCAGGAAATGTCAAAGCTAAATTTGCTGCAATAACCTCAACTCTGCCCTCTTCTACATATGTGTATGGTGAAAGGGCTTCAATTACATGATACTATTTCTGAACTGGATTTGTGGATACTTAGTACTCTTGGAAAATCAGACCACGCTTCTTTAGGTGCCTAGATTTAGGCACTCAAGTTTGAAAATTTTGACTAATAACAGTCTTTGTCTACAGTATAATGAAACCTAATCTAATCTTTGACCAATGGATACATTAGATGTTGCTGAATGTGGCTTGTCAGGCTTCTGAATGTTATGGCACATGGTGGGAAGAGATGTTTACTAGAGTTCCTTTGGCTTGCTCCTCAGTCTTGAAACGGAGGATAACATTTTCAAAAGTGCCTAGGTGACTTAGGATCCCAATCTATCATTAAACATCTATAGGAGTTAGGTGCCTAAGTCCCATAGGTGCTCTTGAAAATTTTACCATAAGTCTTTAAGTGTTGTTAAATACCTTTTTGCTTCAAACCAAGACATTTATAGAAGAGTCTGATCATTTGTGGAAGAAACACTGCCAAAAGGATTTTAAAAACGAGCATCTCCTGGAATATGAGTCATGGCGTGAAATGTACGTGCGGCTCTTCAGTCAGAGAGAAGAAAAACTAAAGACCCTCACGAAAAACATTATTTCAGCTCAGTCTGAGAAACCTAAAGGTAAGTAAAGTCTACAGGTAACTTTTCCTTGAATACCCCCTCCCCTTCCCAATCTTCTAATTTTCAGAAATGCAATGTGTGGGATTTAGTGACTTATTTTAATTGCACTGAATGTTAATAAAAGCTCATCTCAGGGAGAGGTGATTGCTATTCCTTTGCGTTCAAATGCTTTTAAAGATTGCACACAAGATTCATTCATGTAACTGATTCATGCTTTAGACCATGTTTGATCTCGATGGTTTAGAGCTCGGGAGCCAAGGCTGTCTGTTTCCTGTATTGTATGGACCATCACTAGAGCCATCCCAGACACTGTCTCTGTGAAGAAAGGTGTGCACGTTCTGTAATATTACTTTGTCCTTGTTCAGTGGGTACCTTGATGTAAAGTTTTGTAAACCTTTCACTGTTTTCTTATTTAACATTTTTCATTAAATGTTGGAAATCACATTGCCACACAATCGTTATCTTAATGTTTTTTTTCTTGTCTTGGAAAGAGTCAAGTTTGATATTTAACTTTAAAAACGCCCTTCCCCTTGTTTCTATGTTAGGGCGACAGGTTAAACTGGCTTACATACACAGTGTGGCAAAACCACCCAGAAATGTTCGGCGGCAGCAAGAGATCTATGGGACAGCTGGACCTATTATTCAGCTGCACCCTGTTGAAAAGGGCAAGTAAGTACGCTGTTGCTGCACCGTGATTTGATATTGGATGACTTCATGCTGGTCATGTCAGTAAATGAATGTTACCAGCAAAACCTTTGTATGAAAGAATGCAACTAAACTGTAACTATTGCTTGGGGGATGTGTGGTTTTTTGGTTTTTTTTTTTAGTATTTCAACTACAGGAAATATAAACTTATATTTTAGGAATTGTGTCTGCAGTGTGCCCCAACTTCATCTCTTTCCCTCAAACTCCAGTGCTGAGGTCACCCTTCCTCTAGCTGGAGAGTGGGTCTGTTCTTTGCAGATCACATTGGTGTTACCTGATATTCTGTATAGAGTCCAAACTTCCTTTTATGTTATGACCCTACATAATAATCATAAGTGATCTCCTGTTATAAATCTAACTCAGCTGGCAGCTCTGATTTATGCTGGACCACAGCAGATGTTGATGCCCTTGACTACAGGTTGCTGTTTTGGTAGCTAAGGGAATGTCTGGAACTACCAATCAGTAGGGGTGGACTGTTTTCATCACTGAAGGAGTGGAAACATAGGATCCTTCAAAGATGATTTTCTGCAACTCTACGTTTTGCTCCATGGGCCTTATATTTTGGTTTCTGACCTGGATGAATGACTAATACTGTTGTCAGATGGATGTCAATATGACAATAGCTCAATTTTCCCCAATTAAATGTTCTTTATGTATTATTGCATTATATTTATAAGAAACCAGGGTTTTTGTCAATAGAAACATAAGAACGGCCATACTGGATCAGACCAATCATCCATCTTGCCCAGTATCCTGTCCTCCAACAGTGGCCAATGCCAGGTACTTCAGAGGGAATGAACAGAACGGGCAATCAAATGATCCTATTCCTAGCTTCTAGCAATCCGGGCCACTCAGAGCATGAGTTTGCATCTCTGACCATCTTAGCTAATAGACATAGACGGACCTATTCTCCAGGAATTTGTCTAATTCTTTTCTGAACCTTGTTATAGTGTTGGCTTTCACAACATCCCTTAGCAACAAGTTCCACAGGTTGACTGCCTAGTGTGAGGAAGTACTTCTTTGTTTGGTTTTTAAACTTGCTGCCTGTTAATTTCATTGGGTGACCCATGGTGGCTGTGTTATGTGAAGGAGTAAATAACACTTACTTTCTCTACACCAGTCACGATTTAATAGACCTCTAACATATTCCCTCTTAATCATCTCTTTTCAAAACTGAAAAATCCCAGTCCTTTTAATCTCTCCTCTGATAGAAGCTGTTTCATACCCCTGATTTTTGTTGCCCTTCTCTGTAATTTTTCCATTTTTAATATCTTTTTTTGATGGGGTGACCAAAACTGCAGGCAGTATTCAAAGTGACGTACCATTGATTTATATAGAGGCAATATATTTTTCTGTCTATCATTTTTCTAATGGTTTCAAATATTGTTAACTTTTATTGACTCCTGCTGCACATTGAGCAGATATTTTCAGAGAACTATCTGCAATGACTCCAAGATCTTAAGTGTTAACAGCTAATTTAGACCCCATCATTTTGTATGTATAGTGGGGATTATATTTTCCAATGTGAATTACTTTGCATTTATCAACATGGCAGATGAAATTCAATTTTGTTGCCCAGTCACCCAGTTTTGTGAGATCCCTTTGTAGCTCTTCACACTCTGCTTTGGACTGAACTATCTTGAATAGTTCTTGTATCGGCAAATTTTGCCACCTCACTGTTTACCCCTTTCTCCAGATCACCTATCAACATGTTCAACAGTACTGGTCCCAATAGAGACTCCTGGGGGACATCACTATTTACCTCTCTCCATTCTGAAAACTGACCATTTATTCCTACCCTTTGTTTCCTCTTTTAACCAGTTACTGATTCATTAGAGGCCCTTCCCTCTTATCCCATGACTGCTTAGTTTGCTTAAAAGCTTTTGGGGAGGGACCTTGTCTGAAAGAACAAGTACACTAGATCCACTAGGCCAACCTAATCCCCATGTTTGACTCCCCACTCAGAGAATTCTAATGGATTAGTGAGGCATGTTTTCCCTTTACAAAAGCCATAATTGACTCTTCCCCAACATATCCTATATTAATCTGTGTGATAATTCTGTTCTTTCCTATAGTTTCAATCAATTTGCCGAGTACTGAAGTCAGGCTTACTGGCCTGTAATTGCAAGGACTACCTCTGGAACTGTTTTTAAAAATTGGCGTCATGTTAGCTGTCCTCCAGTCATCTGATACAGAAGCTGATTAAAGTGATAGGTTAGATACCAGTTAGTTCTGCAATTTCACAATTTAATTCCTTCAGAACTCTTGGGTGAATACCATCTGGTCCTAGTGACTTATTACAGTTACATGTATCAGTTTGTTCCAAAACCACCTCTATTGATACCTCAATCTGGGACAGTTCCTCAGATTTGTCACCTAAAAAGAATGGTCAGGTGTGGTAATCCCCCTCACATCCTCTGTAGTGAAGACTAATCCAAATAATTCATTTAGCTTACCTGCAGTTGCCTTATCTTCCTTGAGTGTTCCTTCAAAATCTTGATTATCCAGTTGCCCCATTGATTGTTTGGCAGGCTTCCTGCTTCTGATGTACTTAAACAAATTTCAATTAATTTTTGGGTCTTTGGCTAGTTGTTCTGCAAATGCTTTTTTTGGTCCTTTGTAATTATACTTTGATTTTCCAGAGTTTATACTCCTTGCTCTTTTCCTCAGTAGGATTTAAATTCCAATTTTTAAAGGATGCCTTTTTGCCTATAACCACTTCTTTGACTTTAATGATGGAAGTACATTTTTGGTCCTCTGTTTTATAATTTGGGATGTACATTTAATTTTGAGCCTCTATTATGGCTTTTTTTTTAAGTTTCTCTGCGGCTTGCAGGCATTTAAAAGGTACAGGCACCATTGTGAATGTCCACTTAACTAGTTTCCTCATTTTTGTGTAGTTCCCCTTTCTGAAGTTGAATGCTATTGCAGTGAGCTCATTTGGTGTTCCCTCTTCCCCCCACTCCGCCCCGCCCTGATGTTAAATTTAATTATATTGTGGTTGCTATTATGAAGCGGTTTGGCTATATTCACTTTTTGGACTAGATCCTGTGCTGCACTTAGGACTAAATCAAGAATTGCCTCTCCCCTTGTGGGTTCCAGGACTAACTAATTGCTCCAAGAAGCAGTCATTTATGGTGTCAAACTTTTATTTGCTTGTGACGTGTACCCAGTGAATATGGGGATAGTTGAAATCCCTCATTATTATTGAGTTTTCTATTTTTATATCCTTTCTAGCAACATATTGGTTTCAGCGTAAAAAATAAGCATCTGTTCTGTAGGTTGTCTAACATTTGAAACTGATTAAAGTTGGTGCTGGTAAGAAAGTGGCACTAAAGGGAAAGCTTTCATTTAGCATTGTGGACTGACCTTTCTAGTGCATAGGGTCACTTGTGTACAGTTGCTTTTAACTAAGTACCTGCAAAAAACCAAATTCAAAAAACTGTAAGAATGATAAATTGAAGCACTAGTTCTAAAGGACTTAATGACAAGCCATAAGTGATTCTGTTGCTAAATATCTTTGCACAGTCTGACATAAACTGTGGTTATTGAAGTGTGATTGGTTTTACCTGTATTTACCATTAACTTTGAGTGGAAAATAAATGTGGGTGAAAGAATGAAGTACTGATGAAACACATTCCTGTTAAAATATGGTTCTTATAATCCCTTGAAGACAAGGTAGGTCAGATTATTGCAAACAATATGATCTGACTTTTTTTTCTGAAAATTCTGTTTCATAATCTTAAGGTGTTTGTGTTTGTGTTGTTTGTGTTGTTTAAACAGGTTAGTATTAATGACTTAAATCCTGTGAGGTTTTTAAGCTGAACTCTTCTTCTCTTCTCTCCCCCTCCCCATTTTGGTTATTTTTAATAGAACAAAGAATCCAGAAAGCAGAGACCGAAGTAACACCTCACCAAGCCAAAACGCAACCACTAGCAATGTAACAAATGGAAGCTCCAGCACTTACTCAAGTGGAGTAAGTCAGGATATAAAAAAAACTGTCAAAAGTAAGTAGTTGCAGAATAATTCCTTTACTTATTTGGCTGATAATATCGTTAATTGTATTACTTTTAAAGTCACTTTGAGTTTGAGTATTATACAACTATAATCCTAACTAAAATGTTTTTCTTTGAAGAAATTGCACCAATGATGAGAAAATCTTTGAAAGCATTCAAGAATAGAGTTGGACCACGATAAAACAGGATCTTGCATATCTGATTTAAACTTATGTTAACATCTGCATATTCTACGCTATGTCTATGTAATATAAATTAGTGAATTGTGAATATAACCTGCATTCAGTTAAAATAGTCTCTTCAATGAAATAAAGTGGCAGAATGCACACAGTGGTTTGTGATTTAGAATAAAGGATTTAGATTTTATTCCCCTATCCCCAACCCCCTGCTCACTCCTTTGTATCCATGAACCAATTAGCAAAAGTGAATTGAAATAAGGCAACTTCACAGGAGTCTAATAGTATCAACAATCTGTAGCCAAGGAAGTTCGTGCCGATTTCATAAATGACCTTTGTAGATTATGAAGACTTGTATATGAACTTCATTATTTTTCATCAGTGACTGATGCAGAACTTAAAATATTTATCCCCTTTTTCTATTTGTTTAAAAAAAAAACTTAAGTAGACCAAATTCCATTATAGTCTTGAATGCTGCACAGTAAAATCTTTTGGTAGCTTCTAAACATCTCTGGAAAATGTGCAAGGTTAGACTTGCATGAAATATAGAGCTAGTAAATGGGTAACTCAGAGGAAATGATTAGTGCTGCTCCTTGCCCCAAAAAGTACTATTAAAAATAACTTGCATTTTGATGTTGCATGGACAGATGAGTGTCCCAGCTATGGCTGGTAGAACACTTTCTATCAAAAGTATTCTTGGAAAAAAGGGATTTTCTAATTTTTTCTGTGTGAAATGTCTGCTTTTTCTGTGTAAAATTGCAACTTTCCAGTTTTGGGATAACCGCTTTAGTTTTCATCTGGACCTGTGTGTCATGAAAAATAATAGGAATTAGTTCCATTGTAATACTGCCCTTTAAACACACAAAGGACCTACAGCAAGAGCAGAGAACTAGAAGACCACTATATTCCCTGAGCTTGTACCATTTGTTAGGGATGGTGCTTGGGGAGCTTGCAGGAATTCTGGCAACCCCAACAGCCTCAGCATGGGGAGTGAAGTGTCTGGAGTTGGAGCTGTCATGAGACTTGCTACCTTAAACCCAAGAAAAACATCTAGTTGAAAGATGTGTTGGTTTCTGCTGGGGTCTATGGTTTGAAGTTGGAGGAGCGAAGCTAGTGCAAGTATCAATAGAAGTGCAGCAATGGGTGCCAGAGGCAGAGCTTATTTGTGCCAAGTACGTACCCACCAGTTTCAGGTGGGTTTATATTCAGCATGGCTCAGCCAGTGCTCTCCGTGAGAGCTAGGGTACGTCTATACTACTCAGTGGGCAGCGATCGATCCAGCGGGGGTCGATAAATCGACTCCTGAGCGCTCTCCCGTTGATGGTGGAGCGGCAGCAGTCAACTCACCGCAGTGAAGACACTGCGGTGAGTAGGTCTAAGTATGTCGACTTCAGCTACGTAATTCACTACACCCCCCCCTAGTGTAGACCAGGCCTTAGTGTGGGTATGTGCATGTGAGCAGAGGAAATCATACCCCTAGCTCATAGTGCAGATATAATCTATTTCTAAACCAGTTTCTAATCCATTACAGAACTCTACATGTCAATTTATAGCCACTCAATTTCCATATTTCCTCCCTGGAGGCTAATCACTCAAAAGCTTTCTGAAACTGAGTGAATTATATGAACCAATTCTCCTTTATTGACACTTTGACATGGTCGGACATAATTAATTAATGAGGCGTGTTTTTTTGCTTTGTTTTTTTTTTTTTTGTAGCAGAAACTATGCTGGTAAAATTCTAAAACATCCAGATAATCATGACAACAGAATTCCAATAGTAAATAACATTTAAATCAGGGTCAATCATGATTTAAATTGATTTTTTTAATTTCTTTATGTAAATTTTTTTCAATTAGATTTTTATTTATATGTTGCTAGTTCTTCACTTATCCGATTTTGCACTCTGCTAAAGTGAATGTTTTGGACTTGTTTCTTTACTGTCCTAATCGTTGGTAAATTTAAGATTTTTTTTAACCTTAAGAAGCTTCACACTTAATGCTCATGTATGATAAGTCCATGACCTCATTAACATCCTTACTGTGAGACAACATAAATTCAAGCACAAAATTGATAAGCAAATAGGCCTATAATATAGTTGCAACCAACACCACCTTCCAATATGTTGAACGACCAAGTAAAGAAAAGTGGAAATTCTTTGACCAGGTAAACTGAGATTTGACCAAACCTCCCTTACGGTTTTGCAGTTTGAAGTCCATGAGACTCGTGCTCCTAACTCACGTAGGTGCTTCGGAAAATGTGACCTCTATGTGCCTTATCTCTCAGCCTGTGGCAGCAATAGACTTAAGCCTTGTCTACACTACAGAGTTTTGTTAACAAAAGGCTGCTTTTCCTGACAAAACATTGGAGGTGTACACACTACAATGCTGCTTTTAGTGGTAAAACTCTCCTGTTTTGGATAACAAAATAATTCTCTCTTCCCCCCCCCCCCCCCGCCCTTGGAAAGAGGCATAGAGCTTTTTTGAGGCAAAGTTATATCGATGAAGTGTCAGTGTAGACACCACATTGGTTTTGTCACTATAAATGGCTTCCAGGAGGTGTCCCACAATCCCCATGCTGAGCTCTCTGGTCAGCAGTTGAACTCTGCTGCCAGGTAAACAAGCATTCGCCTCTCCCCCCTTTAAAGGCCCTGGAATTTTTGAAATTCCACTTCTTGTTTGCTCGGTATGGAGAGCTCATATATCATCTTCCCAGGTGACTGTGGTGGCTCCATGCGGCAAATGCTTTTCCACTTCTGCAAAGCTGTTGGATCTGCTGAGTATATGGGGGGAGGAGGCTGTCCTGGCCCAGCTTCACTCCACCTGTAGGAACTTTGATACCTGTATGCAGACTTCTCGTGGCTCATGTGATAAGGGCTACGAATGGGACACTGTGCAGTGCCAAGCAAAGATAAAGGGGCTGAGGCAGGCATACCAGAAGGCAAGGGGGGCAAACTGTCACTCCAGTGTTGCTCCCAAGAGCTGTCGCTTCTATAAGGAGCTGGATGCCATCTTTGGCAGCAACCCCATCTCCACTGCCAAGAGCCCCATGGATGTTTTGGTGGGGCTGGAGGCAACAGACTGTGGACCTAACACCCAGGACAAAGTCGTGGATGAGGAGGTAGAGTTCGACTATGTGGAGCCCATGGCAGGGTTATCTGGTGGTGTGACAAGTCAGGAACTTTCCCTCACTCCAGAGGTGTCTAGCCAGTCCCAGCAGTCCCTGTCTGGCGAGCAAGGAGAGGAGATTCCTGGTAAGTGATCTTTTTGAGTTACTGCTGCTCTGTTAAATGACATTCAACTTTAAGTTTGCTTTGTATACTGAACAAGTGGGTGAAGGGATAGAAATGTGCAATACTAGCTGTGTTTGAGCGTGCTCCAAATTCCCCATTGCAGCTAAGCAGTCCGGCAGAACATTGTGTTGCACGCCAAGATTTAATGGGAATTCTCTTTGAGCTTTCTGGAAACTTTCCTGGAGGTACTTGCCAATCCTGAGCCGAAGGTTCCTTGACACAGTTGCTTTGTTCCTTCCCCCATTTCAGGAAACTTTCCCTTGCTACTGGGCAATCACTTGTTCTGTGCACTGCTTTGGTCCCTGACAAACAGCATAGGACCAGGTCTGAAGCCACATGTGTGCAGTAGATGCACTCTTGCATTGTTATGAACTCTCAGGAATGAGATCTGCTTCAGGGACGCCCCCACTCCTCCACCTGTGGAAACTGGTGGCAGAATTTACTATATTGTCCCTAGTAGCCTGCACCGATCGCCTTGAAACATCAGCAACACACTTTTTTTTTCCCCAGCTTGAACACCCTCCACCCACCTGGGCAAAACTCACCATGCTTAGGGTGTTCACTGAGATGTGTGATTGGCAAGAGTCAGTTAGAAAGTGACTGGTGTGTTGTAAGAGGAGTATTTTACTGTAATGATTCAATGCTGTGCGTGAACTAACAATTATGCTTCTGTGTATTCTGCAGATGTGGCCTTCAGGGGAACCCCCTACACATGGGAAGAGTGCTTCTGCCCGATAAGGAAGTGACCAAAGTGTAGCAAGGAGGACATGTTCCAAGAGGTGCTGCAATCCTCTGAGGAAGAACAAAGAATGCAGGGAGTGGAGAGAAATGGAAGGCGGGACCGAGTCAGGAGCTCATTCAAAAGGCCCATGAGCAGATAAGTCATGGACGCTTAAGTCCTTAATCAAGCTACAGTCAGAACAGATGCATGCTCATCCCCACCCACACAGATACAGAACTGTTTTCCAATGTCCTCCCCAAACTCCTCCCACATATTCCTGTCAACTTTCTGGAACATCTTGCTATCCCGCTCACTCCACCCCTTCAGACCCCTTCCAAAATGATAGTTGGATTTATGCACAGCTATGAGAGCCTTCAATGCTCTGCACTGCTGCCTCCCTTCCCACCAAGTCTTTAGTGTGTGTTCATTGCTGTTTAATAAAAGCAAACTCTCTGAAAGATAAACACTCTATTTATGTCCTACACATAGTAAAACACATACATGCAGTTTAATCATTTGCTTACTGCAATTCCTGCTCTGGAATCATCACAACTGTTAGTCAAACAAACAAAACTCCAATTAATGAAGCGTGGCAGATTTCTGTATACAAGCACACATTACTGGTGTGTGCTCGTTCTCGTTCTCGTTCTCTCTCAAAATGTTCCCTCAAAGCCTCCCTGGTTCGAATTGTGCCCCTCTAATGGGCCTGGCATCAGGTTGCTCAAAATCAGCAGCCAGGTAATCTGCCTCAGCACTCCACTTCCTGGGCTAACTTTTCACCCTTAGCCTCACAAAGATTATGGAGCATGCAGCAGGTAGCTGACCATTGGAATGTTTCCCGCACTTAGATATAACCTACCATAAAGGCAGAACCAGCATGCTTGTAATCTGGCAAAGGCACATTCTATGGTCATTCTGCACCTACTCAGCTTATTATTGAAATGCTCCTTGCTCTTCTCCAGGTTTTCCCATGTAAGGCTTCATGGGAAGTAAGAGGTACACTGAGTTTCTCAGGATCACTATGGGTATTTCAACATCTCCCACTGGAATCTTTTGGTCTGGAAAGAGAGTCCCTGCTTGCAGCTTTCCGTACAGACTAGTGTTCCTGAAGATGCAGGCGTCATGCACCTTCTCAGACCACCCTGCACTGATGTCAGTGAAATGCCCTCCTTGATGAACAAGCACCTACAATACCATAGAGAAGTACCCCTTTCTATTGACATATTCTGTTGCAAGATGGTCTGGGTCCAGAATTGTGTGTCATCTAGTGCCTCGCTACAGTTTGGGAATCCCATTGCAAAGCCATCCACTGTTTTATGCACGTTGCCAAGAGTAATGGTCCTTTGTAGCAATATGCAATTAATGGCCCTGCACACTTTTTTGTGTTAATGCTGATTCAGTGGTAGACTTCCCCACTCCAACCTGATTCGTGACTGAGCAGTAGCAGTCTGGAGTTGCCAGCTTCCACACTGAAATCACCATGTGCTTCTACACTGAGAGGGTTGCTTTCATTTGGGTGTCCTTGAGCCACAGGGCTGAGGCAGGCTCCACATGCAGTTCCAGGAAGGTGGCTTTCCATATCTGAAAGTTCTGTAGCCACTGCTCATCATCCCAGACCTGCATAACGATGAGATCCCACCACTCAGTGTTTGTTTTTGCAAGCCCAAAAGCAACAGTCCACCTTATGCAGCTGCTCCGTGAATGCTAAAGGGGCTACAGCTGTGCCACTATAGCACTTCAATGTAAAGACTACTTATGCGAATAGGAGAGGCTCTCCCATTGCTGTAAGTAATCTACCTCCCTGAGAGGCCGTAGCTAGGTTGATGAAAGCATTCTTCTGTTGACCTAGCTCCATGTACAATGGGGGTTAGATTGCCTTAACTACGTGTTGCAGGGAGGTTGATTTTTCTAACCCCTGAGAAACATCACTATGCTGATATAACTTTTCAGTGTAGACCAGCCCTAAGATGTACATCCAAATCCCTTTCCTGGTTGGAAAGTCCCTGTTTAGAAACTAATGGAATTACCGGAATATATTTATTTAACAGGGAATCTGATGTTTCTTTTCAGGTTTCCAAAACAACTAATTTTGTCTTCTGTGCTATTTCTGTTGTGGAAAAGTGCACTTCAGTAGCAAATCGGCACAGCAGCTGCTTCTCCGCTCTGACACTTCATGGGCCAGTCACATTTGGCTTTTCTTGTTCTTTTCCATGCCTGTAGCAGTACACGGGATCAGAGATTAATGTCTGAACTCATATCTTTAATCAGGTACCATGTTGAGCTGTTACCATGTCATTTGCTTGCACCCGTTAAATTAGAGGAAGATTTGCTAGAGGGGAGAATTTTTAAAAGGCTTTCAGGGATCATCATTTTATATCTAAGGAATCTAAAATCACATCCTGCTAATAGTCACATCAATTTTTTCTGTACAATCCAGTGATTTACAATGGGGCTGGACCATGGGCAAAGTACACCAGCCTTCATTCAGGATGTGTTAACCAGTCACTTGTGAGTTCTAACAATGGACTGCCACTTTCCATTTATGGAAAAAGTAAGCGCAAAAAATTGAAAGAGCATGAGGAAGCTTTCAAAAATGTCAGTGCATTTGTTTGTTTGCAAACTGCAGAACTCACTGCTTCTATTCAGAGGGAGCAACACCAGCCCGTCTTAATTTTCATCTTCCCACCTGCTTTCAATATAAAATACTGTGTTATACAGCTGCCAGAACAACTAGGAGATTTTTTTTTTAAGACATGTGGTAATATAAATGCTTCAGAAGGTTAGGGAAGCCTGATGCCACTAGAACATTGAGATGGTAATGTTTGCTTTGAGTGTTAATAGGAGATACCCATGTAAGTCCTTTGTACTTTGATTGGAGAATAAATCTGAGGAAAGATGTTACCTCTTGAAAATAGCAGTGGGCTAGATTGAGGAGGGCATGTAAGATCTCACTTGGAAAAAATACTTTACAAATGGTTGGATTATCTCTTCAAAATCTTTTTTTCTGAACAGTGTGCCACGTATACCATTTTTGGGATGGATAGTAGCAGTGCTGGTATTCCTGACAAATGAAAAAAGTCTCCATGTAATGGAAAGTCAACAACAGCTTGTCATAGTATCCATCCAGCTAAAATAAATAAAGCTATTTTAATACTATTTTTGTTAAAATATTGATAAATAGATGGCCTTGATGATGCAGTAGGCAAAACCAACCCAGCTGCAACCAAGCAAAAGGGCAGTGTGTCAAAACTATCAACATTTATCAAAGAAAATGTATTACATAGCCCACAGGTAGATCACACTGAAAATCAGGGAAATGCTGATAGTAAGCTTGGATTTCAAGAAAAAGGGGGAAGAGGATCTACTCTAATCTGTGGAAAAAGTTTACTCACTTTGCGTGGAACACTACAGATGAGTATCTGGAGAAAAGAGAAGGTAGGTGCCAAAACTTTGCACAGCTGTAATTATCTAATAGAGCTGAGTGATAAAGAATAATTTTTACAAACTGCCATCATACTAAAAATTGTAAAGTAGCAAACTAAAATTCTTCCTAAACCTCAATCAAATGTAAAATATTTCACAGGATGAAATTCACCCCTGTGCAGAGGACCACTGCAAGGCCCCTGCACAACTTGAATCTCACTTAAACTCTGGTTTCTAATCTTCAGTGGGACTCATGCTGACTGTGTGCATGTGTGTGAATTTCACTCAGCATTGTTTTTGGTATTTGTATCATACTATCTCGAATAGGTTACCCAAAATCCTCTATCCCTGCTGTAAGCTAGTCTCCAGTCACTGAACTGAATAAACACACCTTAGATTGGACTCGGAAAGGTGCCAACCCATGCCTTCTGCAGGCTATCGCTAGGGACAGAGTTTCACCAATGAGGGCTCTCTTCAAACAAACAAAAAACCCCACTATATTGCTCGTCCTGGAAAGTTCAATTTCAAGATCTGACAGCTCCCACCAAATCTGAACTCTTGTGATAAGAGAAACATCCAGAAGGCAGGTCATCTAGATGATAGCTTCTGAGTGATCTCATTGGTATTCTTAAACAGAGCACCTGGCAGGAGTCTAGGCTGGATAAAAGTATGAATAACTGCAATTGGGTTCTTACGACCTTTCCTCATAAACCCATGGCCAGCCAATGAAGGTGAAAAAAGGCATTACAGGCCACCACATCTGTCTGCAAATTGGGGGTAAGTTTTAAAAAAAAAAATGGATCTAAATAAGACTCTTGCAAACCACCTAGGTGAAAATTAGGCAAATCTCACTACATAGACTGGAGTGAGGCAGTGTACACTTTCTAACACTTCCCTCAACTGGCGAACATTACTTTGATCTTATTGCAGCTAGCTGGCTTTGAGCCAGATACCTAGCTTAGTCAGGCACTGAGAAATTAATGAGATTGTAGTATTTAATGTAAAAGGAGACATGGGGCTGTTCCATATCTCAGGAAGATACAGATCTGCATGCTGTACAGATTTTTATTGTGAACCTTCCAGAGCACATTTAAATGACCTACAGGAGAATTGCTTGGTCACCTGCTATACAGTGGTGGCAATGATGCCTACGTAAATTCCAGACTATTCAGAAATAAGCATTTGCTACTGTTTGCTCTCAGTTTTTGCTTATGTTGTTTAATGATATAACATTTTTTTTCTTAGTGAACAGTAGGAGGATCTCTTCCACCGCCCCCCTCCCCTTGTATCTCAGAGCTGAGGGTGGCCATTTTAACAATGAATATTGCATATGCAATTAAATCTCCTACTAGCAGGAACTAATGACAGTTGTCTTGCTGTTTCCATGGCGGGGTAGGCAAATGCTGCAACTTTCTGTTCTGTTGGACATGTGAAAATGGTAGTGGGGAGAATTACCTGGCTGGCATATCATCTGAGGCAATCTCCTCAGGAATGGGTACAAATTTCGCGGCTGTATTTATAGTCAATTCAACCAATTTAGATCCTCCAGTGCCACACTGCCAGCATAATCTGTTCATAATGCTATTTTAAGAGTGAAGATCTGCTCAGTCTCAGAATGACTCTATGCCACCAGAGGATCAATGTCAGGACTCTTATGCCAATCACCCATCTTGTTGCCAGTGTAGCAAGGGCAAAGGGTGGACAAGAGAGGGGTCATGGCTATGACATTCCTCTGCATTGTCAGTCCTCAACGGCTTTATCATTGCCCTGTGGCCTTTGCAGCACAGCAAAGGTTAGGTTGCTCTAATATGGTACCGGAGAATCAGCCTACAGGGAATGCCAGCAGGATCGTGGCAGTACAAAGGTGAGCTTTATACAACTTTAGCATACGTACTCCTATCCTGCTCTCTGCAATTTAGCACCTCAAGATCTGGCCTTGAAAGTTAAGTAATTAAAATATATTTACATTCCAAGTAAATAGGTGGTAAGAAGGAAGGGTTGTAATGTTGTAACTCCAAATGCATTGTGTTGGGTATGATATTTTAATGTTTGGACCACAAACGACTGTAGCTCTAAAATCACTGTTAAATTTTTAAAATACAATAGATCTTTCTGCTTAGAGGGGCTAACTTCGTAAACTGCAAACCAGAGCTTGAAGTGAAATCCTAGCCCCACTGAAGTCAATGGGAGTTTTGCTGGTGCTCTGACTGTGACTGAATGTGATGCCCACTACTTTCACAAGCAATACAAACAATGCAGTCCATAATGCACGATACAAACACACGGTACAGACTCAGACTGAGACACATTCAGTAAGAAAGTGTTCAGTGTTATGGAAAGACTGTGGAAGGATTGCAAAGTGCTGGGTACCCTCAAGCTCCCCATGACTTCTGGCCCCATGCACCCACATCCCAAACTGTCAAATCAAATGTGCTCCAATTGATTTTTCATCAGTTGCACATTGTTGTGAGTGATTTTACCCAACCCCCTAAGGGGAGCTAAGTAAGGGCACTGTAAAATTGTGTTCTTTAACATGAACATGTTGTTGGATATTGTTTACATGCCTGATATATACACAGTTCTAGAATGCAGTATGGCAACAGCACTTATGAGAACCAACAATAAAGGCTCTTGCAGATGAGGAGAAAGATGAGCGAGAGAACAGCAACAGTTTGAAAAAAAATTCTCATCCTTGTTACTTGCATCTAGTTTCCATAGGAGACTGGAGATTCCATTTTTAGTGGGAACCTAGGGCTGCTTAGACCTGGGTTCAATTCCATGCTGTGCCACACACTTCCTGTGTGACCTTGAGCGAGTCATTTAGCCTTAATTGTGCCTCCATTTCCCCCTCTGTAAAATGGGGATAACAATAGTTCCCTACCTCACAGGTGAGGAGAAACACATTAAAGACCATGAAACACTTTGAAATACTGATGCAAAATGCTATATAAGAGTGTGCCTCTAAGAGCACATCAGTGCTAATTGGCATACTGTGGACATGATATATACCCAACAGGTGACATGTAATATATCACCAAAAAACTAATAAGGTACTGAACATTAATATTCTTGTGTGATGCATGCATGATAAACCCACAAAGGACTTATACATATGTTCTGGAAATATGTTCTTTAACTGTATCGGGCAAGCAGTACCTAAGCCACACCTGTTCCAGACAAAGGACTGTGTCTCTAATGTAAATTAAGCCAGGTGTGATCAAAGACAAAGAGAAGCACATACTTATTTGGTTGGTTTGGCTTTGTTCATTTTAGAGCTTTTGTTTTAGGGTATGGTGCTCCCTTGCTAGGCCTTTAGTGATGAAATGTTTGTGCCTTATTTGAAACATTTGTGTTACCGATTGTTTAAGTACCTATATGGAAAGGTAGTGGCCCATAAATGGACCTAGTTTTTAATTTCTAGCTCATCGCTGTAATTCTTTTGTTTGCCAGTTTTGCACTGGCTCTTTTCTCATAGAATCAAAGCTTTCACTTAGAACAAAACAAAACAAAAAACCCACCTCTCTAGTCTTTCCATTCCAAAGAAGATAGCATTTCCAGTGTAAACTGATGTGCTGCTTCCCTAACACTCTAGCAAAGAGTTTAGTCTTGCAGAAATGTGCCTCCTGCTAAAAAAATATTTATAAAAAACAAATCTCACCAAATTTTCCTCAGTGAGTTAGCTGACAATCCTATAAATCTTTTCGGGCCTATTGAAGTGTTAATACCAATGCTCCAGTAGTTATTGGACTAAAAGCACTTTAAATCATCATCATCTTTATAAAAAAGAAAAGGAGTACTTGTGGCACCTTAGCGACTAACAAATTTATTTGAGCATAAGCTTTCGTGAGCTACAGCTCACTTCAGTGGAATTTGAAGTGAGCTGTAGCTCACGAAAGCTTATGCTCAAATAAATGTTAGGCTCTAAGGTGCCACAAGTACCTCTTTTCACAAAGTTCAGCCACTAGGTTTGCCATGACATTATCGGGGATACTATTCCTGACGGCTTGTAGTCCATCTTTGTGTGGAATGTTTGGTGTAGAGGGCTTCTATATCCATAGGGGCTAGGATGGTGTTTTCAGGAAGATCACTGATGGACACTAGTTTCCTCAGGAAGTGAGCTGAAGCTCACGAAAGCTTATGCTCAAATAAATTTGTTAGTCTCTAAGGTGCCACAAGTACTCCTGTTCTTTTTTGCAGATACAGACTAACACGGCTGCTACTCTGAACCCCATCATCTTTATGCTTTTCAGACTCCTTTTTTCCTAAACTGGGCTGCTTGGGTAATTGTTTTGGTTTTAAAGAGATTTTGAAGGATGTACATACCACATTAAGAAACAAATGTGTTTTGGGATATGTGACACTGCACCTCATATTCTTCATAGTGATATTATTATATGATTCTGACATATTTATAATGTATTTCATGTAAGAGAAGTCATGTGAGATGTCATTGGAAAAGTTATGATTTGCTGAATATGATTATCTTATTTGTATCATTTTTGTATCTGAAGTTACGAATATTGACTGTGTCTGTATTTCAAATGTAGTTACACCTGGGTAATGCCTACTAGACAAGATGCTTTCAGTCTAGATTGTGGGTGGGGAAGGGCCTTATTCAGGGTAATGGGCTATTAAGAAAAAACAGTAGGCCTTAGGAGAAGCCCATCTGGGAAGCCTTCCTGAAAACGCTACAGATAGTCTCCAAGGGCTTGACTACACTTGGGAGTTAGAGTGCATTAAAGCAGCCCCGGGCCCCCTAACTCATGATGCGTCCATATTGGCAAGGCACATAGAGTGCTTGGACTCCATGGCTGGAGCGCTCCTCGTAATCCACCTCCATGAGAAGCATAACACTTGCTGCGCCTAACTAGAGCACCCCAGAGCCAGTGTGGACACCCTGGTCTGTTAGTGCACTCTGATCGGCCTCCAGAAATGTCCCATAATGCCTGTTCTAGCCACTCTGGTCATCACTTTGAACTCTACTGCGCTGCCCTTAGGTGACCAACTGTCAGACCTGCCCTTTAAATTCTCTGGGAATTTTGAAAATCCCCTTCCTGTTTGCTCAGCAAGGCGTGGAGGGCTCTCAGCGAATCTTTCCAGGTGACCATGGCTCTACGCGCCAGGCAATCCCCAATATGGAGCAAGGGCGAGGTGCTGGACCTCATTAGTGTTTGGCGGGAGGAAGCTGTTCAGTCCCAGCTGCCCTCCAGCTGTAGGAATTACGATACCTTCAGGCAGATATCAAGGGGCATGATAGAAAGGGGCCATGACCGGGAGGCACTGCAGTGCAGGGTTAAAGTGAAGGAGCTGTGGAATGCGTACTGCAAACTCATCTTGTGGAAAATGTGGGGACAGTGTTCAGTATGGAGCCCCCTGCAGCTGTTGGCTCTCCCCAAGGCACAGAACCCCAGAGGATAGTATGGCTGTGAAACAATCAGTCTCCCTTGCCCCTGTGCTTACTCACCATTTTAGGGCTCCTGTGGGTTATATGTGCTCACTTTGGGACAGGCAATTTCTGCTATTGCGTACGCTGTGCTTGTCTTTAAGTAAGGCCAAATCATTGCTTTGTCTGGTGTGAACGATACTGCCTCTGTTAAGTGTTGCATTTTGGCTTTACAGATGCAACCTGGAGATCCCAGGCATCCTTTTTATCACTGTCTGTAAGACTCCAAAGAACCAGGAAGCGGCCATGTAGAAGCAAAGAGGACATGCCGCATGAAGTAATGCAGCAGTCCCTTAATGAAAATCAAAAAGTGGCAGGAGAGTGAAAGAAGGATCCGCCAGCAGAATGTGGATTGCCGGCACCAAAGCACGGAGCAGCTGCTAAGCATCATGGAGTGCCAAGCGTACTTGATACAGGCGCTCATAGCAATGCAGATGGAGCACATCTGTTCCCGGCCCCCCTCCCCTGCAGCCCTTGTCCCAAAACTCTTTCTCTTGTGCCCCCATGTCACTGCCAACCCACTTTCTACAACATCTGGGTTCTTATAGCCACCAGCTGCCTCCAACACCTGTAGCTTCACCACCTAGCCCTGCAAACTACGACCCTTACCCTCTGCACTCAACCCCCATTACCATGCATTTTAGCCAGCCTGAAGTGTAGCACTCATTGCAGGGCACTCCAGGCAGGAAGGCTGAGTATGATAACAGGGCACACGCAAATCTGTGATTGTCCCATTCCCCACCCCACCCTCTTCCGTCATCCCAAACAGCACAGATGTGTCATGACCTTTCTGTTTCCCAAGCAGTTGTATTTCTTTTCAATAAATGAATTTTTTGGCTTTGAAAATATTCTTTAATATTGAATTAAGTAAAAGATACCGTAGCCCAGGAAAGCAACGGGCACTGAAGGTCAGTGCATCATACGTAGCAAACACAGATTCCTACTAACATTGGAACCACTGCACTTCACTCCCGTGCAGGGCACCAAACATTACTGATGGCTTTCAGCCTCAAATTGCTCCCTCAAGGCATCCCTAATCCTTGCAGCCCCGCGCTGGGACCCTCTAATACCCCTGCTCTCTGGCTGTTCAAATTCAGCCTCCAGGTGTTGAACCTCTGAGTTCCACGCCTGAGTGATCTTTCACCTTTCCCTTCACAAATGTTATGGAGGGTACAGCATGCGGATGTTGTGATTGGCCAGGTCCAACTTTCCATACAGACGGCGCCAGCAGCCAAAAGCACACTCCACTGTCATTCTGCACTGACGCAGCCTGTTGTTGAACCGCTCCTTGCTGCTGTCAAGGCTTCCTGTGTAGGGTTTCATGAGCCACGGCATTAAAGGGTAAGCGGGGTCTCCAAGGATCACAATGGGCATTTCAACTTCCCCTACGGTGATCTGGTCTGGGAAGAAAGTCCTGGCTTGCAGTTTCCTGAACAGGCCAGTGTTCCGAAAGATGCATTCATCATGCACCTTTCCGGACCAGCCTGCGTGAATGTCAGTGAAACAGCCATGATGATCCATAAGCGCCTGGAGAACCATAGAGAAATATCCCTTCCAATTTATGCACTCAGAAGCTAAGTGGGGTGGTGCCAGAATTGGAGTATGAGTGCCATCTATCGTCCCTCCACAGTTAGAGAAACCCATTTGTGCAAAGCCAGCCACAATGTCATGCATGTTACCCAGAGTCACGGTTCTTCTAAGCAGGATGCGATTAATGGCCCTGCAAACTTGCATCAACACAATTCCAACGGTTGACTTTCCCACTCCAAACTGGTTAGCAATCGATCGGTAGCTGTCTGGAGTTGCCACCTTCCAGATTGCAATAGCCACCTGCTTCTCCACTGGTAGGACAGCTCTCCATCTCATGTCCTTGTGCTGCAGAGTGGGGCTTGAGTTCATCACACAGTCCCATGAAAGAGGCTTTTCTCATCCAAAAGTTCTGCAGCCACTGCTCGTCATCCCAGACTTTCACGACGACGTGATCCCACCACTAAGTGCTTGTTTCCTGAGCCCAAAAGTGGCATTCCTCTGTGGTGAGCATGTCCGTGAATGCCACAAGCAATCTCGTGTCGTATGCGTTATGCAAGTTGACCTCATCGTCAGACTACTCTCTGTCAGTCTGTAGTTTAAGGAGTAACTTGACTGCAATCTGTGATGTGCTGGCAAGACCCATCAGCATATTCCTCAGCAGTTCGGGATCCATTCCCACAGACCGAAAGGGAAGACAGAGCGCACAGTACAAAAACCATTGAAAGATGGCACCAAATGTGGACAGAAGCACAGGGATTGCTGGGATGCAAAGCGATGCATCACGGGGCGTTGGGACAGGACCCAGAATGCCCTGCACCCCCCTGCCTCCTTCCCACAAGCCACAGCCCCAGATTGGGAAGAGGTGCTCTGTGGGATAGCTGACCATAATGCACCGCTCCCAATGCAAGTGCCGCAAATGTGACCATGCCAGTGTGCTTGCAGCTGACAGTGTGAACACACTGCAGCGCTTTCCCTGCTGCAGTCTCTGAGGGCTGATTTAACTTAGTGCGCTACATCTGCAAGTGTAGCAATGCCCCAAGTAATGGCTGCGATGACTCTACAAGGACATGTGATGAGACCACATGCCTCTGGACTCCATCTTGGAATGTCAGTATTTTTCCACAGACTGGTCTGGGAACAAAGCTTTGGGAATAAAGGGTTCCCGCCATATGCAAAAGTTATATAAGTCAGGGACTGACATCAGCTGATGTTCACTCCCCACACAAGAAGACTCCTAGAAACACCTGAGGAACAAGGACTGAACTGTGGGAAGTGCTGGACCCAGGCTAAAGGGATTTCAAGCTGTAAAGCAAGTGAAGCTTGCCCCTTAAGAATCTGCAGCCTGCTTGTATCTCTTAGGGTGAGAATCTGCTAATTCATATCTAATCTATTTAGTATATTAAGCTTAGTTTGCATTTTTTGTTTATTTGCTAGGTAATCTGCTTTTGTCTGTTTGCTATCACATGTAATCACTTACAATCTATCATTTGTAGTTAATAAACTTGTTTTTGCTTTATCTAAACCAGTGAGTTGTAGTGACGTGTATGGGGTGACGTGTATGGGAATCATAGCTCAGGGGCAAAGGTTGTTGCATATTCCTTTCCACACTGAGGGAGGGGGTGAACTTTATGAGTTTATGCTGTACAGTTCCCTGTGCAGCACAAGACAGTATAATTTTGGGTTTATACTCCAGAGGGGATGCATGTCTGGAGAGCTGAGAGTTGTCTTAACTGTAGCCTTCCTGTGGAGGGGCTGGTCAATAAGCCTGCATGTAACTGCAGCTGGGTGTGTCCCTACCTGTATGAATGCTTGTGAAAGTGCAGGCTGGAGGGCTCTGCGGCTTGTCACAGCAATACAGTGTGAGAGGGAGCCCAGGTTGGTGGGTCAGTGGGCTCAGTGGTAACCCAGTTCTAGGTGGCACTCTGGGGGCAATCCAGTCACAGGCTCAACAAAGTGCTGCCTGCAATTTGAATAAGTACTTTCAACAAACCAACCATAGGTACTTTGTTAATTTAAACCAGTTGCCTGTGGTATAGAATCGTGGATCGCAAGAATTTTGGCCTTGCTTAGGCTGAAAATGACAGTTGCAGCTTCAGTGCTTGCTAACAAAGATAAGTACATGAGAATAAAAAGGGAGAGGGGTTGTGGGTCCTTTCTGGCAAATGCTGTTGCCTAATCTCTGTATCTCCCACTGGGGCTTTATTAGCTAAGAAAGCACCTGGTGAGTATTGCCTTATTCACCATCTCTCATACCCAAAAGGAGAATCAGTGAACAATGTGATCGACCCCAAACTGTGCTCTGTGCACTATGTGTCATTTGACGTGGCAAGGTACACTGATACGGTCCTGCTGCCTGGCTTTCAGAGAGCAACATAAATTTGGCCTTCCACCTCCTCTTGGTCCACCCAGTGGACTTGGCCTTCTTGGATTTTTCCTCCAATGGTCAGTTTTAGGTGGACAAAGCAATGCCCATGGGCTGTGCTATTTTGTGTGTGTCCCTTTTAAAATTCAGTACAGTGCTGGGCGGGGGAAGGGGGGGGTTAAGAGGTGTGCAGGATCATAGGTGCCAGCTCTGTGGGTGCTCTGGGGCTCAAGCACCCGTAGAAAAAAAATGGGATGCTCAGTACCCACCAGCCACAAGTGTTTGGCAGAGCCATTGATTCACGGTTTGGCCGCAGGAGGGAGGAGAGCAGCAATTGGTGGGTGGGCAGGGAGCCTCGGGGGAGTGGGGACGGAAAGAGGCAGAGCGAGGGTGGAGTCTTGGGGAGGGGGCAGAGCAGGGGTAGGAAGAGGTGGAGCAAGGGCTGGGCCTCGGAAGTGGCAGAGTGGGGGCGGAGTTTGGGGTGGAGCAGGGATGGAGCACTGACTGAGAAAAATAAAAGCACCTGTGTGCAGGATGGCAACAGGTAACTGTAACTGGATGATTTTCTGTTTGCAGGGAAGGCCAGGTCAGGTGAGTGTGAGGGGCTGCTTTGAGTTTTTCAAGAGTTGACGGGCGAATTGGGTGTTCCCCCAATTAATGAAAAAACTGGGGCCCTGCTACCACATTGACATTCCTGGGCATTTGGATTGACATGGTACAGGGGCATAACACTTTCCTCTGGACAAGCTCATGGTTGTTAGTGTCACCAGGGCCAAAAAAAGGTTGGTTTGAGGGATTGCCAATCCCTGTTGAGCCATTTGAATTTTGCACACCTTCTGTGTGCAGTTCACTACTGCTACTAGTGGGGGACACCAACTGTAAGGGTCACTGCAGAGATGAAGGAAGACCAGGCAATCTGGCACCATTTCCTCACTCATTATAAATGGGTGTCTGTATGGAGGGATGCTTACATGCTTTAGCCCAACCTGCAGGTCTATTTGGACACAACAAGTGGGATAGGTTTTGGCTTGTATTTTAGGGGGTGTTGGTGTGCCCATGAGTGGAAAGAGTCTGGAATTTTGAAGGATTCTATTCCTGGAGTTCCGGTGGCGGTCACCATCTGGGATGGGGGGTTCAGGGACAAGAAGGCTAGGTTTTAGTGCAACAATTAAGCAGTTGTTCATGTGGTGAACTTTGTTTTGCCAAAAAAGTTGGGATGGCCGGAACAGGGCTTAAAAAAGGGACTGTGCCGGCCAAAACGGGACATATGGTCACCCTAAGCACTGGAGAAACCCCTTGTTGGAAAAGCAACCAAGATGACAATCAAGGTCCTTTGTCATTGTCTGTCAATGACTCTAGATCAAATCATTACA